GATATTTGTAAAATTAAAGAAACTATGAAGTTTTTTTTTTTTTAATAATATTAGAACTATTCATGTGAAGAGAATTAGATATGAAAAAAAAATAATATCAACAAAAAAGTTCTTAACTTAGATGCATACAAAGCCAAGCATAGAAAAATCTTATTTTTTCCGTCTTATGGAGTGATATTATTACCACACTCTTAATTATTAATATCATACATTTTTATTTTAATTGATTATTATATTTTATAATTTATTAAGGAAAAATATAAAATTTTGAGAAAAAATGTAAAATAAAGGTATAATAGATAATTATATTAAAATGATATAGTATTAAATATTTAAGGTGTAACAATAATCTTACTCTTTTTATAGTATATAATTCAAGTTTTATTAATACCATGTGATAAAATTATACTCTCTTTTTTTAATTCTAAGTTATATTTAATTGTATTAGATTTGATGCTCTTCATCTATTTGGTATTTTTTTGTTTAACACAACTATTTAGTCATGTTACATTAGAAATCTATTTTAGAATTAGAGAAAAAAAATTCAAATTCAAAAGGTCAATTAATGCCACTTGACCACAATACCCTTAGTACAAATTTGTTATTACTTTTTGTTAATTTAAATATCTTTTTAAATCAAAAATTGATAAAAAAGACATTATTTGGGTAAAATTATATAAGAAAACTGTACGTTCAAATATTTAATTTATAATAATAAAAGAAAAACTACTAGATTTTTTTACTATATTACTTTTCAAATTAAACATTTATTATTTTTAAGCTTGAATTTTTTAGAATTTAGAAAGAATAATTTTATGTTTCAATATTTAAGATTTAACATGTAAAATTATAAATTTAAACTTTAAAATTTTAGAATTTTGCATTTAGTTTTATAATTTTAGAGTTTTGGATTTTAAAACTTTAGAGTTCAATAATAAGAATATAGAGGTGGAAGTTTTTAAAATTTATGAGAGAGTTGCCTAAAAAAAAAAAGCAACCTCATTTGTTCTATTTTATCCATTTCCTTGAAACCAAATATACAATTTAAAGGTGATAATTTAATTTCCCTTTCCTCCGATTGGGACCCCATTTAACGTACCCTTAAAAATACAATATTTTTTTTTATAAATTATTGTAAATTGGGTTCAACTCACATTTTAACAAATTTCAATATATTTACTAAATTTATCATTCATTTTCATGACAAAACCCAATATTCATTATGTAATTTAAATCTAACTTAATCACTTAACACATTTGCCATTTAATATTGCAAAGAAAAAATCATATGGTAAACTTTTATAAGTTATTGTAAATTAAGATGAGAGAAGATTTTTTTTTTCTCTTTCATAAAATCACCATGGGGATGAGAGTGCACTCTGATTGCTTAGGGCTTTACTATCATTAGTAGTATCTCCATACTAACAATTAAAATTTCATACTCATCGAGAATTTGAAACACAATAATCTCTGTTGTGAATACTGAGAATGCTATTGAATCTTTTATTGGTTGATTAAGAGTCAACACTAATGCCTTTTTTGGTTTGAAGGAGAGAACAGGAGAAAGAGAAACTTCTCTTTTTGGATAATAAAAAATTGGAGGGAAAATGAGGGGAAGTGAGGGGGTTTTCCATTCTTTATTATTATTATTATTATTATTATTATTATTCATTTTAGTGTAATCAAATGAAGGGAGGGGACTTTGTTTCCCTTAAACCAAACCTAAAGTAAATGCATAAATGATTCTCCTATTTCAAAATTCCTTGGATTGCTTTGTTTTCATCCATTATTTGGGAAATTTAGTAACAAAAGAATGACATGCTTTGTGAGGATTCTTATTTCAAATTCTAAATGACTTTCTCTTATTATTTATAAAACTATTCAATTTTAGTCAATTTTTCCTATTTAGTCTAGTTTATCTAATAGGCAACTTAATATATATTGCAAGTATAAACCTTCTTTATAATTGATTAAACATTAATACTAAGGCGGCTGCCTTTCTCAAACCTATTGGCAAATGAGGGATCTTCAATGATATAATGACAATTAGATTATGGGTTTTGCTAGGAATATAGACATTACTAATGGAATAGGTGTTAAACTTTAACACATAAATGATAACCTCCAATTTTATTGTTGCCAATGGATTTTTTAAAATTAACATTGAGTTTGACTCTTTTTATGTTATTCAATTATTGTATGCCAATATTTCTAATGTTTTGAAATGTAAAGAACTCATGAGCAAATTTTGTTCTAATTCAACATTGCAACGTATCAATAGGGATAGCCATTTGTGTACTGACTTCTCAAGATAGGAATATCACTTTCTTTAACTTTTGTTGTTTTTGATAAATATCAATCTCTTATGGTTACGTTTTATCTTGTTTATGTACTAGGACTTCACTTTCTTAAACTACCATAATGAACTCTTTTTTGTTATGCTAATAAAATTTTGTCATGTTTTCTCAAAAAGAAGAAGAAGAAAAAAAAAAGTAATAACTTCTTCTTTTTCAAAACATTAGTATTCGTCATTTCTATTTCAAATATTTAATTAATGGTATGTTTGGGTTGTGGGGAGGGGATGATTTTTTGAGCAATCATTTTTAATATTTAAAAAAACATTATAATTTGATTGGTCAAAATATCTTCGCATTTCCTCTTGAAACGACCTAGAATGAAATTTATCACTAATTTAACAACTTTTCAAACCAAAGTTCGCAAGCCTTCAAAAGCTCAAATTGAAATAATTAGTAGTAATTGGTTTTTACAATTATAAACTAAGATTACTCACAAGTCTCCACTAGTTTGGGATTCAAAGTATTACATTTTTATTTCTCTCAACTTAAACATATCATAGGTTATTTATTTTCTTTACTTTTGATATTATAGAAATCCTTTTATTTGTATAAGAATATAAATGATACTCTAAATTAATGTGTGAAAATAAGCATAAATTCAGGTGAAAAGTTTTCTTTCATAATTTTTTATTAGAAAACATTGATATATATTAAAAAATTACACAAATATTTAACATTTACGTTTAATTTATATTCAATTTTTAAGAATAAGTAATACTTTATATAAAAAATAAAATTCATAAAAATTAAAAATATAAATTATTTCATTATATGTTCCTGTGCGAGTGCACAGTTACCATCTAGTTCTTTTAGAATGGAGCTCTAAAAGGGTTGTAATGAATTAAAATTCTATCATTTTTTATTTTTATTAAAAAAATAAAAAATAAACCCAGTAGAAGACAACACACATGGTCTAATCCCCCACCCACCACTAGCTGCCCCCACATGTATTGCAAAAGCGAGAGTAGATGTCTCCAAATTTTGAAAATTTTGGTTGACACATGTAGGTCCTATTTATTTTACTTATTCATTTCAAAGTAGTACTAGAAAACAGCCTTTCTCCCTTGTGGCACGCTAGCGAAAGTGCGTAACACGTTGGTGTTTTCTCGGTTCAACATGTTTCACATTAGTAAAAGTCATGTCAATTCTACCAAAAAAAAAAAGTCATGTCAATGAATCATTTGGATTCATCGACATGGATCAAGTCTGTGTATTGTGGATGGTGGACCTTTCACCGAAATTCTATCTATTTTATCTTTGTCATATTTTGTGTCAGTGAAAACCCGTTTAAAAGAAAAAAAAAAGCTACAATTTTTGTAGATTAATTGTTAGTTCATCATTTGTAAATCAATTTCTAATTAAACATAGATTTGAATGAAACTACAATTCATGCATTTAACAAGTAGAAACTCAAAAATATATCACTAACAAAAATAAAACATCATTCTCAGACATTTAATCTCATAGAGCATATCACACTTGAATATTTTCTTAGAAGCACTGAATTATATATTCGAAATCAAAGAAAAAAAACTCAAAAGTCAAAAAATAAATAAATACATAAGAAAATTAGAATAATTAGAAATCTAAATCTAATTCAAATTACCCATAAAAATTGAAAAACAAACAAATTCACAAGAAACTCAAATCTTAAAATAAAAAAAAAGGGACAAATCTCCCAAAGATCATGGGGAGAATGTAATTTGCACAATTATTTAATTTTTAATGGGTGAATCTCGAGCAATAACCCAACTTTTGCCAAAATCATTATTTGGATAAACTTAATTCATAATCTTAATAAAATAGTCACCCAACTCATACTCTAAAAAATGATCACCCAATTCATAACTCTAGAAAATGATCATCTAACAATATTTCATTAGTCATCACATTTAGAATAATGAAAATTTAGAACCGTCATTAGAACTAAGAAATAGAACTAAGATTTCATATATATTATTTCTCATTGGAATCACTAAGTCACTATATTCATCTAGTGTAAAACGAAGCACCAATATTAAGAGGTCTTTTGGTGGAACTTAAAAAACACTTTCTTAAAAGCAATATTCTCCCTCTCAAGTTTAAAATTTTATGAGAAAAAAAATTAAAATTTATCATTTAAAGTGGATTTTAAATAAGTTTTAAAAAAGTTTGAATATGTAACTTTTTCAAAATTTACTTAAAACCAACTTAAAAAGTTAATTTTAAGTGTTTTCCTCCAACAAAATTGAAATTTGTTAAGGAGAATAGTACTTTTAAACCAAGAGTTTTTTAAGTTTTGCTAAACAACCTCTTATTTTTATTATTTACTAGCAAACTTTAGTATAAAATATTGTTTTGTAAATATTTTTCATACAACAGTAATAATATTGCAAATGATAAACTCTTAAAAAAGAAAAACGATTAGCCAACTAAGACAATTGTTTGCAATTTAGGATTGAATCAAGAACTTTAGCTTCTTGATTACGAAAGCTAGTCACTCAACTTTTTGCTTAAGGCATGACAATTTAAAAAGTAAGGTGATCATTTAGTTAGGATCATGAGTTGAGTGACTAAAATGCTGATTTTGGCAAAGTAAAGTGACTATTTTGTAAAGGTTATGTGTTTGAGTGATCAATATGTTGATTTTGAAAAAGTTAGATACCACCTTTGATATTTACCCATTTTTAGTCCCATATATATTGTGGGCATCCCTGTGTCGTACTGGTCTGAGCTCTCAGTCTCTCATTCCTTAACCATTAACCAAGCTACAAGCTTTCCTCCCGTTATCTTTGTGGACTTCCGTTAGGGTTGCGTAGAAGGATTGGATATGGCAGGTGCTGGGATTCACCCGTACCACCACCAGCAATGGCCGCCAGCAGCAGCGCCGCCTCCCCCAACTGCAGCCCCTGCTGCTGCTCCTCCAGCTCCTCCTGTACACCACCCTCCTCTTCCTGCTCCGACCTATGATGAGGTACCTCTCTCTCGATTTCGTACGAGTTCCATGTATATTTTTTGAGCTCCTTGGATTTGGATCCTAGTTTATTCAATGAGCCATGGCTTTGATAGATCTGTGATTTGATCCTATACTCCTAGTGTTTAAATAACAAGATCTGGAATTGAATTCATCATTGTCTTTTTCTTTTCCATCGTTCTATGGCTGTCTCTTTGCTTTGCCAAATTTCAAAAGATATGTTTAATCTTCATATAGGTTCGGACAATCTTCATAACGGGTCTTCCTGAGGACGTGAAGGAGAGAGAGCTACAGAATTTGCTGAGATGGTTGCCCGGTTATGAGGCATCACAAGTTAACTACAAGGGAGAGAAACCCATGGGTTTTGCTCTCTTCTCCTCTGCTCAACTTGCTATTGCTGCCAAAGATGCCCTCCAGGTTTTTACTCAGCTATCTTCTTCTTTTTTGTTCCAATCTTATGGTTCTGTTTGGTTCTCGTGTTTAGGACATGATTTTTGATGCCGAGACAAAGTCAGTGTTACACACAGAGATGGCCAAGAAGAATCTCTTTGTCAAAAGAGGTGAATTGTCAATAACCTTATGATTCTTTGTGTCAGGAAGTTTCTTTTTGGTAACTAGAAAACTTATATAATATGGGTAATTAGGATATAATAACTCTAACATATATGGTCTTATCATACACGACAATCAAATTTTGTGTGAGAGTTTATAGTCAGGCTAGAAATTTGACATATATAGTCTTAGCATACAGGCATCTTCCTTCAGGTTTATAAATCTTCTTCTGGTTATTTATTTATTTAGTTAGTTATTTATTGATAATGCTGGAAATTCTCTTGTTTTGTTATTTTATTTATTTTAGGAATGGTAGCAGACTCTAATGCATATGATCAAAGCAAACGTCCACGAACCGGTGGTGACTATACACACACTGGTTATACAACTCCATCTCCATTTCACCCTCCTCCTGCACCTGTTTGGGGGCCACATGGGTAAGAAGCTTGTATTAAATGATAAAGCTTTGTAGGTTGTCTGCCAATTAGTATGGTCAGGCAGGCTCTATCTGGTAGGAGATATGAAATCAGATATTTATGATGGTTCTTATTAACTTCAACATTTTTGTGTTTGGCTTAGTTATATGGCTCCTACTTCACCATATGATCCATATGGAGGTTATCCTGTTGCTCCGGTACCAATGCCAGCCCCAGCTCCAGTGCCAGCTCCAAGCAGTTATGTGCCTGTTCAGGTGATTCCTAAAGACCAAATGATCATTTTCTTTTTCCATATTTTGTTGGTGTGGATTTGCTTATTGTCTAGTATGGTTTTGGGGGAATTTTCTCTCAATAAGCTTCTGTAAAGACTACTTAATGCTTCTAGAATAATTTTTCTGAAAGGTCTGAATACAAGAAGGATGAGTTTTGGGGTTTCTCTACCTCTTACCCAAGAGATCTTCTTTTCCAGGACTTTGAAACCCTTACCATGTTTCCTTTTTTCCCTTTTTACTATGTAAGGTCAGCCCTTTTTTTGTCTTGGAAATGGTCCAAATGATCCATATGTGGATTGCAGATTTTCTGGGGTGCATGCCTTCCAGAAAATGTCTTTTGGGTTATGGTTTTCATGGTTGAATTGATATGATGGACTTTGAAACTGAGTTGTTGTGGTATATTGTAGCAGTGCTGATAGCTGGTTTCACAATTAAAATCCCTGATTATGCATGCATTTCAAAGATGATTGTTTGATAAAATATAAGGGCACTGAACCTCTTATTGAATATTGATGGCACATGAGTGTGTAATTTGAAAGGTAAAACTAACGTTTATTTGGATTTTATCAGAGATTTATGTACTTGGCTAGGCCTGTGTTTGTGCCATTATCCTATGCAAAGTCCTACACTGTTAAAATTTTCTTTTCAATGTAAAAAGACAAAATATGTTGTTTCTTTGTTTGTCATAATCCCTTTCTTATTTTTTCTGTTTGTAGAACATTAAAGATAATCCTCCTTGCAATACATTATTTATTGGCAATCTTGGTGAGAATATTAATGAGGAAGAACTAAGGGGCCTTTTCAGCGCGTAAGAATGTTTTGATTCTGACTAGTATGAAATTTTTATTTAATTTTTTGCTGTATTGCCTTCAAATGAGGAGAATATTAATTTTCAATTCACCCCTCTGGATTATGCAGGCAACCTGGTTTTAAGCAGATGAAGATCCTGAGACAAGAAAGGCATACTGTTTGCTTTATAGAATTTGAAGTAAGTTTCTTCTATTTGCCTCTGGGATGCTTCTAATGAATTCAGGGAATGATATTCAGCTTTACTTTAATTCATTTCTGTGCTTAGAATTTGTTTCACCAACTTTCAGGATGTTAATAGTGCAACAAATGTGCACCACAGTTTGCAGGGTGCTGTCATCCCAAGTTCTGGTTCTGTTGGAATGCGAATACAGTATCCTTTTAGCATTCTGTCCTTATTTTCTTTTTCCTTTTTGTTTTGTTCTGGTTTTCCATTTTTTTACATATTTTCATTCAAATGTTATATATTTTTAGACTGTTAGTCTTGGAATTCCTAGTGGGTTCTCAAAG